CCGTTCCTTGCAAACTGAACTTGTACTGTTTATTATCTTTTCTCTTTTTTTCTCTAATGTGAAGAGAAAAAGGAGAAAGCTGGGAAAGATAAATATCGTATTCAATTGAAAAGAATAGGAATACGATTGCGTATCTTAAAACAAGATGAAAATTATAAAAATGAGTAAATTTACTACTAAATAACTAGTGAAATTATAAGTATTTTAATAAATTCATTTTTATAATTTTTACCTCATTTCAATGTAGAGAATTGATCCTCAGGGCACTCAGGTTGTACTTTTGTCTGTTACTCTCACGCTGCGCATGTCCAGGATCCATCCCACCGTCCCACTCTCTCGCATGTATACCGTACTCCGTTTCGCGTGGATGACAGGCTGATCAAAGCAGACTCGAACTACAGCCGTGACGACCTGTTACCGCGCGGACACGCTGGAAGGAGCGGAAAAGCGTTATTTCTTATGCTTGACGCGGCAGTGAGTCATCGTAAAAGTGCGGGATCGCTGTAGAACAGGACGATCCAGGACGGCATCATGGAAGTCCTGGACCCAAGCGTCTCCAGAGACGATCAGCCGTTATGTATCAACGATTCTCTGGAGCGAGGTAATCCGCAAAAAACATTGTCGAATACCTTTGTGACGTCATTATGCGTTGTCCTCGTTCACATAATTATACGTTGTTCTCCACGCGCGAGAAATAGTCAGCATCGCGCGTGCATTGTTTGGAAACAAAGGGATGATAACGTAAGCAATGCAACGATGACAGCGGGACAGATGTTCGTGAATATCGCGGAAGTGAAAACGATCTGTTATCTATACCGTTGATCTTGCGACCTTCTTCATTTTTCCGTCTCCTCCCCTCGTGAGAGACGTCAATGCGCGAGTACGTCAGATTTATTTTGTGCCAAAGCAAGTTACCATACTTTTTTTTATCTTACCATTTCACAGGAGTAGGAGAAGAATGAAGAATTGATTATTGTTTTAAACGTAGATTAATTTTTGGGAATATTAATGTGATTGTAGCTACAATAATGCATCAGCTGATAAGAAATTTTAGATAGATCTGTTTAGATAGCTGTCACTTAATATCTCAAATACATTTAACAGATTTAATTTCTTTAACATACATTGAGAAAAATGTACTAAATTTTGATAAACATCTGTTAAATAGTACTATAATAGTACTACTTAAATAGTAGTATAGTAGTAGTAGCTATTTAAGTATTAGTAGAATACTTAATATATTATTAGTAATTATATATAATGTATCTTAATATATTATTAGTAGAATAAATATATGTTTATTTGGTACAAGAATCATTAATTTCATTTAACTATCATTCTTTTATTTAGTAAATATATTTGTTTACTGTAAATAAATGTTAAGTTAGTATTATTCAAACAAATATTCATTGAAATTTAGTACATTTTCTCAGGGCAAATTAATTTTTTTAATGTTTTTAGAATATCTGGAAGAACCAAATTACGTAATTGAAGGTCTTGCCATTCTCTTTCAAGATTATTCATAAGTAATATATTTTAACTTTTTTATTGATAATATATGTTCACAATGTAATGTTTTTTTAGTTAACACATCGCAGATTCCGGCAGACACTAAATCATGCATCAAAGCGCGTCACACTCTCGGTTTTCTGGGCTTTCTTGGCTTTGCCCTTGTATACGCTATGAGGGTGAATTTATCAGTAGCCATCGTCTCTATGGTTAATCAGACTGCAATACCGCATGCTGAGGATAATGATACTAGCGACGTTTGTCCTAAAACGAAACCTATAAATGGGACTTTCATACCGGTAAATCTATCATTGTTTTCTTTAAGTGATTATCTGAATCTTAATTATTATTTTTTATATCATTACTCTATATCATTACTCTATATATTTATTATATTGCTTCTTATATCATATTATTTTTTAAGTATATATATCATTCCTGTTATTACGTTAGTTAGATACTAGTTATCGTGTGACATTAGTCATTTAAACTTATCACACTGGAATATATAAATGTAACACGTACATACATAACAACACTATACTATTTTTTCTTTGTATTAATGATATTGATATGAGTCTGTCCATCTCATTAATATCTCAACATTTGTCACAGGAAATCTAACGTACAGGATAGTGTACAAATTAAATAATGAGATATTTATTACGAACCTATTGATAATTTCTCTCTTTATTAATTCCGCTTATTAATTTATTTCATTGAATATTAATGTTATCATCAAATACTATTTAAGGAATTTTTTTATGTTAATATTTAAACAAAAGAAATGTGCCTAAATATTGTTTTAATTTATAATATATTAAAATGTGATACTACTGATAACTCTTTAAGAGTCTCTGTGAGAGTGAATTCATATATTGTAATATTTTTTATTAATGTACATTCTGAAATTAATTTTAATGTTATTTCAGAGCGCGGGAGAATTTGTCTGGGATGAAAAGACTCAAGGTATCATATTAGGTGCATTCTTTCTTGGCTATGTAACTACAAATGTCCCGGGTGGTAGGATGGCTGAGAAAATGGGTGGCAAATTAATTTATGGTCTGGGAGTGTTTCTGACTGCTGTTCTGACCGTGATAAGTCCTTTCGCTGCGTATTGGGGTTTGGTTCCATTTTTAGTTGTACGAGTCGCAGAAGGATTTACCGAGGTAAATATCCTACTTTCCACAACATGTCTATAAATATTTATATGAAATTATTAATATTTTTTCATATGCGATATATAGGGGGTAACATTTCCTGCGATGCACAGTATGCTGGCACATTGGGTACCTCCATTAGAAAGAAGTAAATTTGCTGCTTTAGTATATGCAGGTAATTTGTTTGTCCTTGCCTTTTAATGGTAAAAAAATATTCAAGAATTACTTACGATATTTTTTTCAGGTGCGAATTTCGGAACTGTTATCTCATTACCAGTGAGTGGTTGGCTATGTTCCTTAGAATTATGGGGCGGTTGGCCCCTTGCATTTTATCTGTTCGGTGGTCTTGGTCTCGTGTGGTATGTGTTCTGGTTGATATTCATATACGACACTCCTTCACAACACGCGAGCATTGATCCTTCCGAAAAAGCATATATTGAAGCTAGCGTCGAGAAAAAAGATGAAGTTAGTATTACGTTTGATATATAAATATTTCTGCGAAGTTATCGTACTTGACTTAATGATAAAATTTTAAATAATAGAACGATGATGCGGGAGTACCTTGGTTGTCCGTCTTCACCTCTCTACCTATATGGGCCATTGCTATTACGCAGTGCGGCCAGTCCTGGGCCTTCTACACTCTTCTGACCGAGCTGCCGACATATATGGATAAAATTTTGCATCTGAACGTACAACAGAATGCATTTCTCTCGGCGTTACCTTATTTGAGCGCTTGGCTAGTGGGTCTTTGTATCTCGAGTTTCGCGGATGCACTACTAGCTCGTCGTCTAATCTCACCTCTGGCTTCGTTCAAACTGTGGAACACGGTGGCCTCATTAGGACCCAGTCTCAGTTTCGTCGGTGCTATTTGGGCCGGATGCGATCGTATGACAGTGATGTTGATGCTTGCCGGATTGGGCTCTCTTCAAGGTGCAGTGTATGCCGGAAATCAGATGAATCATATCGCATTAGCACCACGTTATGCGGGTACCTTATACGGATTAACAAATGCCGCGGCAAACGCGTGTGGTTTCTTGGCACCATATATTATCGGCAGTATAGTAGAGGGACACGTTAGTATATTTGTCATATTTTTCGTTTCAAGCGTTCGTTAGGATGAATGTACATTGTTTTTACTTTTGTATTACAGGAAACCCTTGCACGTTGGCATACAGTTTTCTGGATGGCAGCGGGAATAAATATGGCTACGAATTGCTTCTATTTGATGTTTGCATCCGCCACTGAACAGCCATGGAGTAAAGGCGGCAGTTGATGACAATGTCGCATTAGAAATGCGATATTAAGCGTGGAAAATAATATACTTTTTAATCATGTTGCACATAGCACATTTTAATTTGGTTAGTCAGTTTTATATAATTCGGTATAGATTTATTATACTAATTATTATTTCGCAAAATAAGATATTTTATTGTTTTTTTAAAGTTATAGTTGTATTTATCGTTGAACGTGCAATGACAAATGAATCAAATTTCGGTATTATCAACTTTATTGCGACATGTGATACACAAAGGAGATAGACGTCATCGACTGGCATTCACGTCAGATAATTGGGATTGATTAACATATTTTTCACCTCCCATTTTGCTCTATTTTATTAATCCAGTTATATCTTGTCTGGATACATAAAAAGTTCTGTAATTCCATGAAGAAATTAAGTAAGTAAAAACACTAATATTGACATTACATATAAAGTTCTCAGTGCAAAAATGGTAGAAAAAATGATTGTACATAATAAATCGAGAACAGAGAGTAAAATATTTTAAAGGACTTATTTCCGTTTTCGAAGAAATATTTTGAAGATAAGAAAATTAATATTATGCCCTTGTATTTTTTTAAGCATTATTTGTATCGGTATTAATGCATATAATGCTGAATTTATTTCAGTAGCAATTATTAATAAAATAGTACCATTTTTAATAAAACATTTTTAATTTAAATTATTTTAAATATTATAAAAAAATAAATTATTTTTATTTTTTCGATAGAATGTTGCATTTTTTTTTTATGTTCAATAGTTGTTTTGGCAATTCGATAAGTTTTATGTTATAATAATTTTATAACAATATTATTCACGAAAAGTAGAGAGAGAAATATTGTTAAATTTTCAAATTTTAACATTAATTT